TCTACAAGATGTAATGTAAGATGATTATTTTTGTGTGTATTGTTTGTGTAGTAAAAATAAAAATAATTGTTTAAAAAAATGCACCCTGTTATCAATATTTTGTTTTCTATCCTGTTCATTAATAGATCATTTTATTTCCAGTTGTCATTGTATAATTTTAGTTATATGATACGCACAGCTGAAATGATACATTTCACCTTGATAATACTGCAGCCAAACAAATGGGAGGAGACATGCTGAACTGCTGTATTCCAATCAGTGTGAATTATTTTTTAATAAAAATACAAATTAATTTAATAAAATATTTTATTGTAATATTAAATTAAAATTTAATAAAAATATAATAAAAAACTATTAACTATTAGTTTATTAAAACTAATTATTTCTATTCATTCTTTTAGGTAATTGTGGTATAATTCTATGGAATTCTATGTGGTTTTCTTTTCCCCTTTTTCTTTTAGTGAACTATAATTTTATTTTAATTACAATTTAATTTGTACACTATGAAGAAAGAATAATTGAGTGATACTAACTAAAGTCAATGAATTGTATCTTTAAAATTACAGATTTGTATCAGAGATAAATTATTCTAATGTTTTTGTGTTTTCTAGCCTACATTTGAGACTATATCAGTGTTACCTGTCACAACCAATGGTATTGATTTTTCTGTGCAGAATCCAGATTGGAAAATGGTTAGCTGTGAGTATCTACTAATAGATAACATTTTTTTTGGTGGGGGGGCTTTTTTAAAATCTGGGAAATAATTTGATCGTTGATGGCAGTATCCTGTTTAATTTTAATGCAGAACTCCTATCTAATATTACTTCAGAATAAATCTCTTTTATCATCATAGGACTTATGACTAATTATGTATCCGATTTTGTCCTAGATTTACTAGTCTACTAAATTGTATGTTATTCTTTCTGACCCCAGAATTTTTTTTATAATACATTTTTATTAGTTTATCAAAATATAAAATACAAAGAGAAATTTAAAATGTTATAGAAAACTGGGGGTGGGGAGGAAAGAAAAAGGCATTGACTCTCAACTTTCTTTAGCACAATAGAAGATAATAACATTACAACCTGAACTTTTTACTTTTATACCACAGTATATACGGTACTAGAGATTTCTATAGCTACAAATCTATCTAATCAGCAAAATCAAAATCAAAGTTTTTTTCCATGGATGAAATCTGTGGGGAATGCTTCTGTTTACTCATTAATCTTTATAAAAACTGTCATAAAGTATATTAAAAGAATTCCCTATATTGTTTCAATTTTTAAACCCTTTTTGGCAGAAACTAAACCAGGGCTTTTGTTATCCTGAGCATCATATTGTCTGCACCTGATTAAAACCCATTTAGTTCAAAATGGGGAAGGGGAAAAACATATATATATATATAACCCGTGTGTGTGTGTGTGTGTGTGTGTGTGTGTATGCATATATGTGTGTGTGTGTGTGTGTGTGTGTTGTATTTGTGCTGATAAATAAAGGGAGATTAGTATAGATCTATTTCAAGCTATTTAGCTATCATCAGCTAGACATACCCTTACTGGGATTCGATATGTGTATGTGTGTGTGTATATATATATGTGTGTGTGTGTGTGTGTATGTGTTATATTTGTGCTGATAAATAAAGGGAGATTAGTATAGATCTATTTCAAGCTATTTAGCTCTCATCAGCTAGCCATACCCTTACTGGGATTCTGTCG